ATCACTGATTATAACCATTTTCTCAGACATTTCTTTAGAGTTTAGCTATCTAGCATTCTTGGCTAGCAGAAACAGTATTGCTGCCAATACATTTTTGATAGCTTCAAAGTATGTTTTCTGTTTATTTTCTGCATGTATCCTAGGAAATCTTCAAATCCCAGTAGTTCCTGGATGAGCTAGAATCTTCACCTTTGCATTTCTCAGAGTTCATAATGTGAATGCCCATGGTACAGAAACAGCTTCGTTTTACCGGTGGTAGAAAAATCAAACACCCTGAAAGTGGTTCTTCGAAATTTATTCTTCTCATCTCTAGAAGAAATTCACAAGCAATTCCCCAGAATCCCACAATAACAATAAAAGCCAACATTTATTGTGTGTTTCCTGAGGACTACCCATGACACACATTATCTCATTGAAACCACACAACTCAGTGAAGTAGGTAATATTTGTAACCCCATTTTGCAGATGGGAAGCTGTGTTATGGACAAGTCATATATCTTGTTAGTAACGTCACCTGGTTAGTAATGGCTTTGCCCCAGATAGCCTGTGTGCAATTACACTATTAGTGTCCTGTCTTGACTAATACAGTTTATGGGAATTACCATTAATTCTACAATAAATCTAATCAGAGATGAACACGTGAGGCAAGAGGGAAAAGAAATTGGCCACTGTAAGACTGTGTGTGTCTGTGAAATTGTATGTGTCCCCGAAACCCCCACAACTTTTTCTGATATTCTACAGATATAGGTATCTTGAAAAAGCTCCACTGGTTATTACGGAATGAGTAAACCTCTCTGCCCTCATCTTCATGGTACCCCTTCCAAATATTCTTATCATGTTCACACACTTTGAGAACTATGGGTTTCTCTGGCTTGAGACTTGGACACACAGTAAAAGTGTCAAAGAAGTTACGGGCTTGACAGGCCTAGGTAGATTTCATCTGGGATCTTCAGTTATAAATGGGTCTGGGTTCTCTGAATAAGACCCTGGTCTTGAATATGCTTAAATATGCCAGGGCTGAGCAGAACTGGACAGAAAAGGGCTTTACTTGGTCTTGTGCTTGGGTTTTTGCTGGCCTTAAGTTGTCTGATATAGTCTTCCATTGGGCATTTGTAAGCTCTGGGCTTGTCAAGACCCTGGACTATACTGGTCCATTTTATCCCTCTTCTGGGTTCTGGGTTGGACTGGCCTGGTCTCTGATCTAGATGAAATGAAGATTTTGTTCAGCAAGGTTTTGAGCCCGTATGAGAGATCTGGGACAGATTCTTTTCAGGATATGCTGGCATGAATTATGGATTATTCTCTTGGTTGAGACCTTGTAGGAATGTGTCTTCCTTGCTGTGGCTGCTGTGTTAGGCTTTGAGTTTTGGCTAGACTTTAGCTGGATTGGGCTAAGAGTGGATTGGTGATTAAACTTCATGCTGGGCTTGGGTGTGATTTAGGAAGGATTACGATGGTTTGCAGGCTTAGCTGAGCTTCACTGTGAACTGGGTTAAACAAGATCTGTCCCTGGGCTGACATTAACTAAAATATGAAATTAGCTCATTTTTTTTTTCAGGGCTCTGAATTGATCAAAGTTGGATTGTAGCTGTGTTTAATAAGTTCAATTTATGCATTTGGGTGGCGGTCAACAGGATTTCAAGGGAGATACTGGATTAAATTGATTTTCAAGTTAGTCTGCGTTTTGGGAAGGGTTATTAATGGAATACTGGATTCAATGTAGCTTTGAGTGTTTCTGAGCTGAGGTTGTGAATAACCTGGCCTATGAGATGTCATCAAGGTATTTGCTCTAGACTATGATTTTGCCCTTGGGCCTAAAATCATTCCTAGTACCTTTGCTTTTCTTTTGACCAAAAGCCACTATTCAATGGATTTGGATTCTTTAGAAACTTTGTTGTTCTGGATGATAAATTCCTTCTAGGAAGGCTGCCTTGACCTTTTGCAAATGGTAGTCCTACGGAGGACAAGTATGAAGGAAATCTCATGACAATGAAAAGAGACTATTTTAGTAACTGTTATTTTGCCTTAGGAAGTTATGTGATACCACCAAAGTCCAAGGACCAGTAGGACCTACAAGAACTTGGCAAACATTGGACCTACTTGGTTGACCCAAAATTTGGTAGAAAGTGTCAGATCTGTCCGTATTCTGTCCCTATTTTGGACAAATATTTCTAAGGAAAAAATTTCCCAAGTTTTCTTGGGTAGTCTGTGTTATCTGGAGCATTTTCCAGAACTTTTGTCAAGAACCCAGACAAATGGTTAAGTGTCCACTGAGACTCTTGAAGTTTACATGGCAATGTTACCAAGACAGGAAAAAAATTTTTTTCTCAGCTTGACAAAAGGGGCTCAGTCACATATTGGAGGTGGGGGGCAAGTATGGGACAGTGAATCACTGGAGGCTGGTAGACAGGCAGGTCATACTTACCAATTTCTATCTCAAAGAAGGAAACCTGGAAAATTCAGTTACAACAGTAGTGCAGGACTAAACCCTTAAGACAATCAGTCTAGTAAGACAAACTCTCCAATCTTTTGGAAGGCAGGGCATTTGAAATTTCTGGTATCCTTAAGTATCCTGGGATCCTTCCTTATGGAATGTAAAACATTCAAACATTCACAAGTTACCCCCTTATCCCTCTACTTCTTGAAAGAGAAGCTTCCCCTTCCTAGTAACCCAGTGCAGTCCAACAACCACCAGCACTACCTCACTGGAATCTCCTTGGTGACACAATGACACATGTCAGATCAGTGGGGTTTTCTTGGGGCTTATGCTCTTGACTTTCACAGCTTGTGACACTCTTGACTGCTTCTTCCTCCAAGAAACTTACCCTTACCTTGGCTTCCAGGTTACCATTCAAACACTTCCATGTACATGATTAGTTTGCCTGCACTTCTCCATCTTCCAAAATTCTTATCCATGGCCCCAACATCACAATTTATATCGTTCTTCCACTGACTTGAATTTGAGAGGCAGAGGAGTTTGCTTAGACACCCCTTAGCTGTAACATGAATCTGGGAAATGTTAGCAGGAACCCAGTGAAGACTCTCCTTCCCAAGTCCTCCTCCAGCCTCAACTGACTGATCTACCTCTCCCATTTCCCTACATGCACTAATTATAAGGCTTCTATATCCCAACAACTGAAGGAAAATGTTGCCAGTTCAAAGAAACTCATAATGTCTCCTCTTGCAGACTTGTTGAGCCATCATGTTGCTATTACACCAAGAGCTTCTTCTGCCCCTGTTATTGACTCTGGATAGCTTTGTTCTACTTCAGAGATACGGAAAAACAAGAGTTGCACAGACTAAGTCTAGAGTATTTTAACCTCCTCCCAATTATTGTTTTCCTGAGAGCAGTAATTCCCGAAATGTAGGTGTCAATAGGTGTTGTTTGAAAAGAACAGTTTCAGGGCCAAGTAAGTCTGGAAAATACAGTTAAACGTTTTTTTAAAGAAATTCTCAAAGCTTTAATGTGACAATAGGATTTTCTAGTTATCTATTATTCCATAACAAGTTACCCCCAGTATTAGAGGCTTAAAACACTAATAAACAATAATTATCTCATAATTTCTGTGGGTCAGAAATCTGGGATTGGCTTAGTTGAGTGTTTCTAGCTTGGGGTCTCTCACAAGACTGTAGTCAAGATGTTGACCAGGGCTGCAGTCATCTGTCAGTTTGGCTGGGGCCGGAGGGTCCACTTTCAAGGTGAGTCACTCACATGGCTGGCTATCAGCAGTGCATCTCCATTTCTTGCCACACGGATGCCTCCATACAGCTGCTTAAGTGACCTTTTGACAGGGCAATGAGCTCCCCAGAGCAAGTTATCCAAGGAGCCAGAAGGAAACCACAGTATCTTTTATGACCTTGCCTCAGAAGTCACACATCATCATTTCTGTCATACTTCATCAACTGCACACAAATCAGTCTTATTCAGTGTGTGGGGAGGTGTTAACACCAGGAAAGAAGGGACATTGAGGATCCTTTTGGAGGTAGGCTGGTGCAATGCTTTATGAGTCCCCCAAAATGATTGTTTAATGAAGCATCCCAAGACACTAGGTTTCCGTGGTATAGCTGGTGGGGGAAAACCACCATGGATGGTCACACTGGAGACTAAGTGTCTTAGAGGATCACAAATGAGGGGAAGACGTGTCTGGAGAAATAATGCTGGAAAATGGAGCACAGAGGACTCCCCAGGTGGAAGATCTATGAAGCTGAAACTGAGTTCCTGCCTGGATCCACTCTAAAGAGGACCCCTCACTTCAGAGAGGCTAGCACAGGACTCCCCTGCCGGTCCCAAATGATTTGGAAAGTCCACACTCTTCTAAGCTGTTTACCCCTCTGTCCTAAGTCAAAGATGGGGTGAAAAAGGTCAAAGTTCACAGGCTGTAAAGAAAACCTTCTCACAGAATCTCTAAAATCTGGAGATGGAGACAATCTAGAATGCCCTGCTGATCCATGCCGGGAGCAAACTGTTCTTTGGCATTGTTTATGTCCAGCCACAGGACTGGACCCCAACAGACTCTTTTATGATCTGTACTAATAGTACAGTAAGGTCGCTGGGATGAGTCAGATCACAAAGGTCCCGTTCTTCTCTACTTCATTTGCACAAAGGCACATTCCCAGCCCCAGGGTCAGAGCCAAGGTACTTGGAGGAAGAAATTTTTCATCAAATGTTTACAGCGACCTTATCAGCAGATACAGGATAGGAAAGGAGAGGGCAGGGATAAAAAGGCTAGAGAGCCAGCGAGAAGTAGGAATGGGGAAGAAATACTGGAGAAAGAAGGGAAGGTGCATGAGAAAAAGAAAAGAATAAGAAAACAGGCACAGCCGCACTCGCGCGTACGCCGAAGGACGCTTTCGCCATCTTCGGCCACAAGGTGGCACCCTTTGAACTTTCTTTCTCCTCCCCGCCCCCCCACCAAAAAAATGAGACGGGGGGAGGGGGCGAGAGGAGGGAGAAAAGGCAAAGCACTCTTCCAACCAAGAACAATTTGAAAACCCACCCCATAATATTTAAAAGCTGGGACAAAGAAGCGTCGGGACGGAGCTGCTTCAAAACTGCAAAACGTCAGCGGAGCCTCCGGAGGGGTCCGCCGCTCGAGTCAGGAGCAGCCCCTTTAAAAAAGCGGAGTACAGTATTGGGATTCTTGAAACCTGAAACCTAGAAACAGAATCGAAGCGGAAACCAGAAGGAAAACCTTGAACTCCTCCAGACAATTGCTTCCGGGGAGTTCCAGGAGCGCGAGGGGGAATAAAGGGCCCGCGAGCAGGGCCCCTCGGATGGCGCGTCCCTGAGTGTCCTGGCCAGTTCGAGGCGCGTGGGAAGCAGAGGACCCTACCTCTCCCTAGGCTGCAGGTCATGGCCACCGTGGAGCAGAAAGCCCTCGGCATTGGCTTCAAGTGTCTCTCCTTGGCCACTTTTGTGCTCATCTGCGCCGGGCAAGGGGGACGCAGGGAGGAAGGGGCTCCAGCCTGCTACGGGGGATTTGACCTGTACTTCATTTTGGACAAGTAAGTGTCTCGCGTTGTTGCATCCTAGGCTCAGCTGATGATGCTCCCTGCCGGGCTGGGCTTATTAGCAGCATCGCTTCGGGACAAGCGCGCGTCTCAGGGGACCCAGAGGGACCTCGGGGGTTGGCCGCGGCCCCGCGCTGCGCCTCTGTCGCGGAGCGCGCCTCCCCATCTTTGCTGCCCGAGCCCGCAGGGGCGTCGCTGCTGGTTCGGGGGAAAAACCTACTTTCCGCCTTGCTTTCTGTGACCGAGGAGCCCGCAAGGGAGTGTGAGGATGCTGTTGACCTAACACGTTTCTGTGAATCCTTTCCATTTGCTTTAGAAACCTGGTGAGAGAAGGGCGTGCTTTGGAGAGGTAGAACTTCCAGGCGCGGCTGGAGTGGGCTTTGGAAAGTCAGTCATGTCTTTAAACAAAAACAAAAACAAAACAAAACAAAAAACCACATGCTGTCCTACATAATGCATTGCCTTTGTTCCTAATAACACAGTGCACGCTGACTGGGTAATTAGTGAAAACAGAAGGCGGATTTCTCAACCTAGACACTATTGGGTTTTAGGCTGAGGAACTCTTTGTTGTGGGACCATCATGTGCATCGTAGGATGTTTAGCAGCATCCCTGGCCTCTCCCCAGTAAGCCGGCTCCGTGCTCCCTCTCTTTTCCGCCCTAGCCCCCCAGTTCCACATTGGCGACGGCCAAAATTGTGGCTAGACGTTGCCAAAAGTGCCCTGTGGATACATTCCCGCCCGCCCCTCCTGGGCTTGGGACCTCTGATTCAGACGGATTCAGGTTCTTGGTAATTCCACTGGTGGGCTACCAGGGAGGTGCAGGAGCCCTGGTTTCCTTACCGAAAAGGATAGTGGCTAGGCTTCATGTCGGTGCTCAAGGGAGAGCTGAACTCTGACCAATTAAACCCTTCCCAAGTGCCCTTAGATTCGCCAAGCCAGTCATTCAAGGAAGCTTTATGCTACCTACTAAAACCCAGCTTCAACCCTAAAAAGCCCCTCACAGAAGATCCATGCTCATTAAAAGTATGTGAGCTCTCTGGTGCCAGGAGAGACGCTTGCTGTAACAGTGGTGGAGGATGAATTTCACAGACTGGAAAGTATTTGGGAGTTGGAAAAAGAGGCCTGCAAAATAAGTTGGCCAGCGAGACACCAAATGTGCTTTGCAGTTGCCCCTGGAGTTTGATTTTTCCGTAAGGGCTGTTTTGAACTCCAGATTCTTTGGATGAAAAATGAGCTCTCTTTCTTAGAGATTTATGAGAAGGTGGATACTGAAAATATACTCCAATACTAAGAAATGGAATTTCTTTTGTTACTTCTAGTGGCTGGGAGCAACAGCTCACAGATTCAGAGACTGTCTGAAAACAGTCAGAGGTGCCCATCACGGTGCTTTCTCCCCTCACCCCCAAAAAAGCCAGTTGAGCAGGACACACAGGAAGACTTGAAAAAATGGACAGAACCACCAAGTCCCTGAATGGAGTGACTCCATACTCTAGAGATAATCAAGTTCTCCCCAAATTAATTTGAATTGAATTGAACTTTTAAATCAAAGTTCTGAAAGAATTTATTTTGGGGGTGAGAAGAATTTAACAAAATGATTCTCAGTTTATCTTAGAGACAGAAACCTGGTAAAAAGAGGTAAAACATTTTTAGAGAAAGATGATGAAGAAATACCTGTAAATATTAAAATGTATCATAAGGCAAATTATGCCACCCAGGACGGCAAAGGCCAAAGAACAGGTAGACAGGATAGAAAATCTAGAAAGAAATCCAGGGACATGAGAGCATTTACTGGAAGTTCAAGTCGGTGGGGAGTTAATTTGTTATTTTAAAAAATGATTCTTGGGGCACGTGGGTGGCTCAGTCAGTTAAGCATCTGACTCTTGATCTTAGCTCAGGTCTTGATCTCAGGGTTTCCATGCTGGGGCATGGAGCCTACTTTAAAAAAAAAAAATGATTCTTGGACAAATGGTTAGTAACATGGGAAAACAAAAAAGGTTAGGTTTATGTTTTACACCACATACCAAAATAAATTCCAGAAGGACTGAAAATTTAAATGTTTACAATGAAAGGATGAAACAACCGGAAGAAAATTTAAATGACTATTACTGTAATCTGAGGTTTAGAGCTCTTAAAACAAGACAGAAGCAATAAAGAAAACTATGAAAATACTTAAATATATTCAAATTTTCCATTTCCGTAAGTGAAAAAATGTCAGAGATAAAAGATAATAAAAAGTTACAAAAGCTTTTGTAACATCAATTACTCCTCAAAGATTGGCCTTAATATATAAAAAGCAGTTTTAAAAAGATGAGCGCAGTAGAGAACAGTAAACAAACAAAAAATTTCAACTTCACTAGTAATCAAAGAAATGAAAAAATCAAACAAGTTGTAATTTTTATTAAGTTGGCAAAGTTTTTTTTAAAGATTACAATATTCAATATTGGCCAACTTGTGGGAGGTAGGCACTTTCCTATCTTACTAAGGAAAATATGAATTTGTGTATTCTTTCTAGACTGGTGATGTTCAATGGAACTTTCTGTGATGATGGAAGTGTTCTATACCTGCTCTGGCCAGTTAGTGTCTATTAGCCATAGGTAGCTCTTGAGCAGCTTGAAATGTGGCTAGTGTTAACAAGGAAGTGAACTTCTTATTTTGTTTATTTTTAATTAATTTTAATTGAAACAGCCACATGTGGCTACTGTATTGGATAGTACAGACAAGGAGGTAATTTGGCAACATGTATCAAATGCTTTAAAAAAAATGGGGTTCTACTTTTCCATCTAGCAATTCTATGTCCTAAAGGAAAAATCCAAGATGGTCTCAAACAAGTGGCTATATGTATGTTCCTGGCAGTGCTGTTTATAATAATAAAGCTGAAAATTACCTAAATCTAACAATAGTGGATTTATTAAGTAAAGCATGGTATAGCATAGTATTGAATATGCATATCGTGTGTGCTCATAATCTACCCTTAGGTGAAAATATAAGCACTGATATTATGTACATTATGATGTTACCTTTGTAAAAAACCTAAATACATACGTGTATTTCTTGATTTAACTAATATATAATTGTATTTGTCTAGAAGGTAAGATTTTTAATTCTTTTTTTGTGTGTGTTTTTCTGAACTTTCCAAGTTTTCTGTAATGAGCGTATGTTACTTTTATATTCAACAAAAACAAGTTACTTTGAGTTTTTAAAGAATTGTTTCAAGTGTGAGAAGGGTCTCTAACTAGCATGCTGAGCTCCAAGCACATGATTATAGAGGCTGCTTCTTCTTTTATATTTAATCCTGGAGTAAATTTCTAAATGCATTGTAGGATACTCTGCAGTGCACTGGGGACCCAAACATGCTCCAGGAAAGAAATGATGGGGGTCCCTTTGCAGGCACCTACCTTTACTTTTAGGTGGACTCCTCTGACTTCCTTTAGTTGTCTTACGGCTTGAAGAGAGAGGTATTTTCGTGCTGAATGAAAAAATTGCTAGCCCTTGATGGTGTGCACCCTTCCAGCTTGCGATCTCAATCCAGGCTAATGTGTGTGAATGCCGGACTCAGAGCTGGGGGATGGGCCAAAACGCAGTGATTGCAAAGAGGCCCGTGGTCGTCCCTAAAGACATGGTCTTCTGTCCTAGAAAGAACCTTCTCAGACAGTGCTGTCCAGCACCCAACCACAGCAGAGTGGAAGGGAAAAGAATGCTGACTCACTTTTTCCTTGGGCATCTAAGATACTTTGGCTGGCTCGACACTGTCTACAGGCTGAAACTAAGGGATCCCAGGGCACCTTTCTTCTCCCCAGCCCTCAACTCCCTTTTTCTCAGTGAATGGTTCTCTTCTTTTCCATGACATTAAAAGTCAGCTCATTTCAGGTTTTAGCAGGATGCATCTCTGGCCTGGAGAGAACCCAGATTATATATTTAATGGAACGTTGTGTTTTCTCAACCAGGAGCAAGACTTCATAATGATAACCTAGACTACCACAGTAACACAATAGGGCATTATTAGTGGCTTTGGCGACGGGGCTGGTGGACTGGGCTTCACAAGGCTTTATACTGATGGAATTTCATGTTCATTTAAACATGCTTTTCTGGTTACAGTCAGGAAAAGTAGATTGCTGGGAATTCAATCAGGGATTTGAAAAGTCAGATTTGGAAGGCTCTATCCAGAGAAAAACAGGCAAGGAGCAGCTAGTCTCCTTGAAGTCTTCCAGGGGTGCTCTAAGATTAATGCACCCTGTTGACTATAAATGTAGCTTTCCATTCTCCCAGGGCTCCTCTGTCATGATACTATACATTTATGTATCATATAGTGGTCTATTTTGTAGAGAACGGTTAGTTACATAAATGGAAAAAGTGGCTTCTCCACCGTGAGTCTTGGGGAAGGGCTGGCTCTATTCATGTGTGCCCTAAAGACTTCAAAAATAGATGGTGTCAACAGCAGGATGAGTGGAGGAGACAGTGGGGTAGAGAGGACAGTAAGCACTGAATAGCTTTATTGATAGGACTTTCCAAAGCCACAGTCTGCCACCCAATATATCCTTATATTTGTAAAGGCCCTCCACAGGCTCAGCGTGGGTTCCTTTCCCATTGGAGCCCCCAAACTCCTCCCTCTGGTGCTTCCTTTCTGTCCAGCACCAGTTTTCTCTTTCTCTTCTCCCCACACAAGTGGACCCCATTTTGCCGCTCACCCAGAATTCCGCCCTTAGCACCACAATCAGATGATCCCGGACTGGTGATGATCTGTAGGACCATTGCTATGTGTTACTCTCCAGGGACATGGTCATTAAACAGATGTTTGTAGCATTAGACTGGAAATTTCACCACCGGGTATGGTATCATTTTCCTGAGAAAATACCTCTGCGTTCCCAACTACTGACTTACAAAAGAAATCTTTAGAGTCAGAACTAAAGTCTCCCAACACTTACGCATTCTCACAAGTGCCCCGAAGACAAGCTTGCTTGTTAGCTAAGGCAAGCACTAGTGTTCCTAGTTTACAG